TATAATTATGTCTTGAATAAATAAGATCAATATGTGGTTTGACTGAACATTAATATGATTTGTTAACACTGGCTTTGCCTGAGGGAGCCGGCAATTTTCTAGGGGTGGCCATGCCCACCCCTGGCCACTCCTTGGGGGTGCCCTTGTTTCCCAGTCTATGATGAATTACTGAATAAAGGGACTTTTGCACCATATTCTAACTTTTTAAGTTTCACCTGTATTTGCAAACCTGATCAAGACTAACAAGAAAAGTCCCACCTTTGTGCTTGCAAACAAATGTTTGTTGTGTATCAAAACAACACATTCTCACACCCTAAGCGTCGGAAACAAACGCTTGGTCAGCCACCCTCCACGTCAGACCCCAGACGCCAAAAGTGCCCTTTTTTGTTACTTATGTGCGAAAAAGGGGTTTTCCCTTTTGTAACTGCAGATCCCAATGCAGCGTAAAACTGACGTGATTAGATATCCGCTGATGCGGCACCAAACCAGCTCGTTTAACCGCACCTAAACCTTAACGTTTCACTATTTATAACCTTCCCCTCTCCCTCACCCTAACCTTAACCCTCTTGCTACCTAAAACGTTACTCTCACTGTGATCAAGCGTTTGCTTCCCATGCATTCTGACTCTGACAGTCAGAGTCTAACTGTCAGTTTTTGAATTTGCCGCCCAAGGGGAACGTTAGAACATACCATCTGGCGAGGGGGAGGTTACAAATACCCTCTACTTTTAACCTCCACCGTGGTAGTTGAAACCTCCCCCTCGCGTTGGCTCGGTCCAAACTCGACCAATCACGAGGCGGCTCCCGCCGTTCACTTCATAGAGCCGGCTTTTAGAGCGATCGACACATCACTAACGTGTTCGCTAGCAAGATGGTTAAGGTTAGGATAGGGGTGAGGGGAAGGTTAAATAAGAGGATAAGGTTAAATAAGAGGACAAGGTTAAGGTGAGGTACAATGAGCTTGTTTGGTGCCCCGGCTGTGGACACCCCATCGCGTCAGTTTTACGCTGCATTGGGATCTGCAGTCAAATAAGGGAAAAACCCCTTTTCGCACACAAGTAACGAAAAAGGGCACTTTTGGCGTCAGGGGTCTGACGTGGAGGGTGGCTGACCAAGCGTTTGTTTTTGACACGCTGGGAGTGAGAATGTGTTGATCAAAAACACATTTTGTCCTGACTGTATCTGTAATATGTACTAAAATATTAGCAAAGACATTCCAGTAAATGATTCTTTATTGTTGCACAATAAGGCTGTTTATTTAGTGGTGGCAGATCAGAGAACTGTATTTTCATTCGCCTGTTTCAGAAGACGGGGCATGCAGGCAGAGTGACGAAATATTTCCAGAGAAAAAAATACTAAAATCTTCCTGTTTGAGACTTGCTTACACAGGCAGCTTCCTCAATGTCTCACCAGCTTGGTGGTTGGTCGCAAAGCTGTCAGAAACCGAAAATCCAGGAAACGGTCTAAAATAAAACTGATTGATCTAGAAATCAGAAAACACCGATCTGTTAGCTCTGATGTTGGAGTGCTTTGCTGTCATGGTCCATCAAGAGGCTTCATCAAAACATACGGTAGACCTCGCACATATTTGATTACCGTAGAGGTTTCCTTAAACACATATGCAAAATCTTCAACTGCTGTCCTGACGCCAGTGCTGTTTATGTTCCGTCTGCTTTAGAGGCAACGTCTGCAGAGCACCTGCTTGTTCTCACACTTTGACAGTCTGTTAGAGATAAATTCAACAGCCTGAAACTGCCAGGGACACTTGTTTAAAGTTCATACACGGCTGGTCAAAAAGACCAAAAAAACTACGGGTGTAAAAATTAATTTGGTGCCACTCAAAATATTTTTATAATTTATTTTGTTGTGAAGCTTCTGCATAATAATTCCTTATTAAGCCCAATCCAATCCATTCCAATTTTATTTATAAAGCGCATTCACAAGGCATTACAACCAAACAAGGCGCTGTACACTAAAAATGTTAGTTAATTAAACCGGCGTTATACAAACATGTCGAACACAGATAAAAGATAAAAAGGAAATACAACAAAATTCCCAAAAATAACAGCTAAAAATCAATAAGACACGGGGAGAATCAAAAATTAGAAAAACATTTTAAAAAAGAACCTCAATAGTACGGAAGTCGATAATTGTGGAGTCCATTTTTAAACAGTGCAGATGTAAGTGAGGTTCATAATTATGTTGTATAAGCTAGGTTGAAGAAGTGAGTTTTCAGGCGTGATTTAAAAATGCTAGCTGTTGGTGCTTGCCTCACTAGCAGTGGTAATGCGTTCCACAGCTTCGGTGCACAGACAGAGAAAGCCCTCTCTCCACGGCTTTTTAAACGTGCATTCAGAACAGCTAGGAGGAGCTTATCTTCAGACCTGAGAGCACGCGGCGGGTTGTAGTAATGGACCAGTTCACACAGATTTGGAGGAGCTTGATGGTTCAAGGATTTGTAAGTGAGAAGCATAATTTTGAAGTTTATCCTGAGCTGCACGGGCAACCAGTGGAGAGATTTCAGAATTGGAGAAATGTGTTGTCTTCTGTCAGCTCCAGTCAGCCCCCTTCATATATGTGATGGGACAGCCACACATTGATCAAAGACCTGAAAGAGATTCATTAAAAAGTTGGAATGCAAATGTTTTTGTGGATTAAACAGCAGGATGGATGCAGTGATGTGCGTACCGGTAGAGTATCCGTAACATGGAGCCCACACTGGATGATGCGTTTAAAAGCAGGGCTTGATCAGAGTCATGTTGTCGTGGCCTGATCTTCTACAGGGACCATGGGAGCGTGCTGCTGATTTTCAAGGTATGATGAGGGCAAAGAAACATCTTTATAGGAAACTTTATAACATCTTAGGTGTGTTCTTGCTGTGTATTAGTTCTAATTCCATGCTGTCGTTCTTTTTTTAATACACAGAAACGGTTTCGTTACCTGTTGTTGACGCTACGTTTCGCCGGCGGCTGCAGGCTTCCTCAGGCTGACGCTGATGGTGACGTCACTTCCTTCTCCGTTTATCCGCGGGCAGCAGAGGATGTTGTCACCCTCTACTGCCCGCTCTCCCCTCTCCGACGATGCAGTCCCATGCGCGGTCCAACATGTACAGTCGTCCCTGTTCATGGTCCCATATCCACGTCTCCTTATCTCGATTGCTTCTTTAATCCATCTTTTGTATTTTTGTTGTTCAATGTTATGATCCTTGTGTTGTCCCAGTCCATTATATGGTTTTCTCTTGTGCAGTGATCTGTTACGGCTGACTTCTTTATTGTGCTTTCTGCTTCTTCTTTTGCTGCTCTTGTATGTTTTCGACTCGTTTCTTTCTCGCACTCCTTTCTGTGTTCTATTGTTCGTGTGTTGAGCTGGCGTCCGGTTTCTCCTATGTATGTTTTATTGCAGAGTTTGCATGGGATTTCGTAAACGACTCCACATTTATGTCCAGCTGGTATCTTGTCTTTTGGGTGTACTAGTCTGTTTTTAACTGTTGTGTATGGTTTTGTTGGTGTGTTTATGTTGTGTTTTTTCATTGTTGCTCTTATTTTTTCTGTTATGCCTCTGATGTATGGTAGGGTTATCACTGGTTTTGGTTCTTGTCTTTCTGGGTTTCCGGTTCTTTGCTTAGGTTGTTGTTTTCTTTCTGTTTTTGTTTGCCGTTTTCCTTTGTTTATTGCCCATGTCGGGTATCCGCAGGTCTTTAAAGCGTGTTGTATGTGTTTGTCCTCTTGTTTACGGTCTCTTTCTTCTGTTATTATGTTTGTTCGGTGATATAATGTTCTGATTACTGACATTTTGTGTATGGTGGGGTGTTCTGATGTCCACAATAGATATTGGTCTGTGTGTGTTGGTTTCCTGTATGTGTTTATGTTTAGGGTACCGCGCAGAGTGTAAAGCAAAACTAAAATTAAAGGGACTATTCTTGTTCACACATACATCTTTCCTGTCAAAACGGTGTCAGTGTTTGTGTTAGTTCCTGTGGTGTCTTTACCCGTACGCTGATGACGTGAAGGTACAAATAGAAGTGGTGACCTTTGTTGCCACCAGTTCGTAACATTGGTTTGTTGTGCTCCAGCAGCCTGTCCTCTTGTGTTTCTGCTTCATCTGCATTTAACCGAGCGTGCAAAACCCAAATCCACACACACACACAGAGACTAAGAGTCATGCAATGCATCTGCTGTAAATGGTAAATGGCCTGTATTTGATATAGCACCTTTTAGAGTCCTGGAACCCCTCAAGGCACTTTAAAACACAATCAGTACCATTCACAAACCCATTCACACACACATTCACACACTGGTGGGGATGAGCTACAATGTAGCCACAACTGCCCTGGGGTGCACTGACAGAGGCGAGGCTGCCGAGCACTGGTGCCACCGGTCCCTCCGACCACCACCAGCAGGCAACGTGGGTTAAGTGTCTTGCCCAAGGACACAACGACAGTGACAGACTGAGCGGGGCTCGAACCTGCAACCTTCTGATTACGGGGCGAGCACTTAACTCCTGTGCCACCATCGCCCTGGTGAATGAATGCCTTGTGAGTTATTTTTAGTGACAAAAAAGCTCTCTCTGCTGTTTCAGGAAGGCGAAATCAGCCAGTGGATGTGTGTGTGTGTGTGTGTGTGTGTGTGTGTGTGTGTGTGTGTGTGTGTGTGTGTGTGTGTGTGTGTGTGTGTGTGTGTGTGTGTGTGTGTGTGTGATTGGAGAGTACAAGTCTTTTCTATCAATTTTTATGATAGGTCAACATCTCATCTCTGATTGGCTAAAGAGGTCCTAAGCAGTTTTACTTGCTTTAGTGTGCGTGTGTGTGTGTGTGTGTGTGTGTGTGTGTGTGTGTGTGTGTGCGCGCGCGCGTGCGTGCGTGCGTGCGTGTGCAAAAGTGGAAAAGAAACTTATGGAAGCCCATTTCCACCACTCAGATAAAAAAAATTATTATCTCATAATGACGAAATAGCTAAGTCATAATTATGAGATACTATCTCATAATTATGAGATAATGTTTTTTTTATCTGAGTTGCTGGAATGGGCTTCCATAAAAATCACACCTTGAACCTTCAAACCGAGTAGCAAATGAAAGGGAAGCCAGTCAACGTAAGTGGCTTTGGGCATGATTTGAACTGAAGATCTCTTTAAACATTCACCCACAAACATCTCTAGGGTTTACAGAGAGGTCTGAAAAAATATCCAGCGAGCAGCAGGTGTGTTAATGAAAATGTCTTGTTGATGATAGAGGTCAGAGGATAACGGGTAGACTAGTTCTGTAGGCTAGTGTCTTTGATTTACATCATGTTGACAGAAGAAGAAGAAGAATAAAAGTCATAAGGTGTTTCACAAGCACAATAAATAGATAAACAAAATTTAATCATCACAGCAGGTGTGTCTCCTGTTGGCTAACCGGATCCTTCCACCGGATGCGTAGGCGTAACATTTTTGAAGTGTTGAAAGTTGCATTTCTTACACTTTGAGTATATTTTTTTACACATTACGCTTCCAGAACATGTCAAACTCAGCCGTTCAGATCGGGCCAGACAGAAAGTCAAACACGAAAGCAGCGTAAAACATCTGGAAAGTTTCAAAATAAAAGTTATGTGCAGATTTCCAGTTGCTTAACTAGTCAAAAAAGAACGTGATTTCCTGTGAAACCGCCGTAGCCGAGGTAAACAGAACAGAAAATAAACCACAGACATTGCTGAGTCAATGCTGCCATCTTTCTCCTGGCTTGTTTTCAGGTAAACAGCTGAAATGAATTCTCCTGTGATTTTGAATTTGCAAGGCCAGCTTCAGGGAACGCTTTTGCTGCTGTTTTCTGGCTGAAATGCTTTCGGTTGAAAGGGAGCTTGCAGGTAAAACGCATCTATTACATTACATGCCACATCCTGTGGAAAGGCTGGGTAAGAAAGGAAGCTGAAGCTAAAATTCACACAGGATCACCAGAACTAGACTGGACTAAACAGACACTGGAAACATTTATTCTTTTGACTAAGTTTCAGCCGCAACACTCAGGCGAGGGTTGGAAACAACATGATCCATCTTGTCTCATATCAATGGTTTGTGCTGCAGCTGGCGTAATGATGTTGGGGAGATATTCTGGTCCCACTTTGGACCCCTTAGCACCACTTGAGCCTGGTTTAAAACCCACAGCCTACCTGAGAGTTGTGGCTGACCACGTCCATCCCTTCATGACCACATGGACCCATCTTCTGATGGCTACTTTCAGCCGGATGTTGCACCATGTCACAAAGATCAGATCATCTCTAACTGGTTTGTAGAACATGACCACGAGTTCACTGGACTCCAGCAGCCTCCACAGTCACAAGATCTCAGTCACATTGTGAATGTACTGTTTGATGCTTTTGTTTTAATATGGACCAGAACCTCAGAGGAATACTTCTTTGTTGAATCTGACATGAAGTATTAAATGTGGGGTTTAATCGTTTAATCAACACATTTGCAGTGGTCTCTAGTAGGAATGAATGCCTTGTAAGTTGTACTCTGGGTACAAAAAGCCCTGGTGTGCCTGATTCAGGATTTAGAAGATGGCCAGATCAAACGACATGATATGGAGACTTACTTCCTGATATTTGGACATCTCACCTCTGATTGGCTAACAACAATGCAACTCTATCACTGACGTCATTTGCTCTGCAATGCTGATGTTTTGTCTCCACAAATAACACAATCCTGAAGGAGTTCTCCTCTGTGGTGGAGTTGCTAATGCTAACGGTTAGCTTCTACTAGCCGAGACGTTCTCTGCTGTTTCCTGGCCTTCTCCATCGCAAGTGAAGAGGGGTGAGTCCATGAATGCTAGGTGACAGTGTGAGGTAGATCTCTCAGGCTTTTCAAATCCTAGAGTTTCACCGTCTATTTTCTGTCTGAAGCTAATGCAGGAGATAGGTGTAGGAGACGTTCTTCGTGTTCAGTCAGCATGAAAAACTCTGTGACCAATTATGATCCGAAATAATCATAACAAGAATTTCAGCGAAAGACCCCTTTAAAGAAGTCAAACTGGTTCCAACTCAATATTAGTTTTTATCTTTATTGTTTTAACCAGGGGTGTCAAACTCATTTTAGCTCAGGGGCCACATTGAGGAAAATCTAGTCCCAAGTGGGCCGGACCGGTAAATTAAAAAAAAATTTCAGATTGTTTTCTTTGTTTTAATACAATCAATATAAAACAAGGCTGGAGCCTGAGGACAGTGTATCCAAAATAGTACAAGTACAACACCTGAAGTGTACTTGAAAATTTGAAAAAATAAAAATAAAAATAAAAAAATCAACAAATAAAAAAAACATTCCTTAGTGATTCAAAGAGCTTACATATCACATGGCTAGATCAATTTCATGCAATACTTAAAGTATATTTGACTCATTTTACTTAACATCTTTTAGCTTTCACCAGCACATGAATATCAGAAGTCACATCCTGAGTGGCGGCCGACTTCAGGATGGGATTCAAGTTCTTGTGTGAGCCTTGAACGTAGCTTTGTTTTATTTATACTCGCTACAGAGAAAACTTGCTCACACTGATAATTTTATTTTCACATTGTAAAGTATGAAAATAAAGTTTACACAACCATCTCGGGGGCCGGATTTAACCCGCTTGCAGGCCGGATCCGGCCCGCGGGCCGCATATTTGACACCCCTGGTTTTAACTGTTTAACATGTGATTCCCTACAAAACGTGAGCAGAGCTGGAGGAGTTCCAGATGATAAAAGGAAACCAGTTTCCTCTGGACAGGCTGCAGCTTCGTTCAGTCTGATGACCACCCACTAGAGCTCCCTTGAATCATTTCAAAGAATGTGTTTGTTTATTAACAAGAGCTGAGTGGAACAAACTGCTCCCAGAGGGCTTCTAACAGATCATCTGATAAGGCCGCTCACAAATACGACCGTAAACACATTAACATGTCAGTTTGTTTGTTTCTCCACAAATTATGTTGCTGTTCGTGTCGGCGTTGCCGTCTGATCTGGGCCTGCATATGTTAGAGTGTGCTTCCCGTTTCTCATGAGGAAAACAAAAGTGACGTTTTAATTGTTTTCAAACTCGTGGGATTCATCAGGGATGCTCTGAACACAGATGCTTCATTTCTGAGTTTGATTCCTGTTCTCTCGCCGACACGGCTGCACCGCTGAAAACCATCCAGACAGCAAAGCAACAGGTTAGGAAAACACTGTTTGGTTTGTAATTAAACACATTTTAGCAAGAGGGGAATATAAACGTTTAAGGGATTAGTTTGCAGAAAAGGGAACAGATACTGGGGAATAAACTGGTTTAACTGACTGATAAGAAGCAAAAATGGATTATGAATCTTAAGCCATAAGTAAATTTACGCCCCTCTGTAAGCGCAGCGGCACATTTAATTCATGGAAAAAGCTTATTTTTCTTGTTTAAGGGCAATCAGCCTCTTACCATCTGAATCCAGCCTCATTATTGAACTCACTACGTTTACTGGTGCAACAGAGCTGTTGAGGTACTGAAACACTTCTCATGAAGCACATATATAAGAAAAAGCAGATTGCAATTTAGATTTCATGCTGCAGACGTGATCCATGAGAAGAAATGTGGCGCAAAGATGTAATCGCTAAAATAGTGGTGGGAAAATAAGTTTTTAGGCAGCTTTATTTAAACGGCACATTACATACACAGGAGGCAATTCAGTGTGCTTTCCATTAGCAAGGATAGCAAGAACATTAAAATCAACATGCTACCACTATTAAATATACACAGATTCATTTCAGATGTAACAAAATAATAAAAAAAACAAAGTTAAATGGTGAGCAGTTACGGTGCAGGAGGTGTAGCGTATGAAACATTCATTCAAAGGCAGATGAATACATGAAAATGTTCTATTTTAATTTAAAAGATGCTGGAGTTGGGGCACATTCGAGTTCACAAGGAAGCTGATTCCATCTGTGTGCAGCATAGTAGCTAAAAGCAGCTTTGGTTGTGATCAAAATGATGAGTGCACACAGGAAGTAGACCTGACACGGATTCTGGCCCCATGCCCTTGAGTGATTTATAAACTAGTAAAAGGCACTTTGAAATCGATTTTGTAGTTTCCTGGTAACCAGTGTAGAGATTTAAGAACAGGAGTGATGTGCTCAGTTCTCTTGGTTCTTGTTAAGACTAAAGCAGCAGCATTCTGAATAATTATTCATTTAATTAATAATAAAGGGACATATCCTAATTATACAATCACTATTTTAAAACACAAGGTGCCATTATTTTATGTTTTCTCTTCTATACTCTGACAACTTGTTCTGCTATGACCTTTTTTCAGTCTCTGAAAAGCATCTGGGGTCTCATTTATAAAACTTTGCATAGAATCCTTACTAAAACTCTGCTTTAGCTCCGCAACAAAAATTTATTACGCTAACTCATTTCCCAATCTATAAAACTCTGCTTACGCACGATGTCGCACAGTTTCAGCTTTATAAATCACACCTGTCCTAGAAGTGTGCTCAGGTGTTTCTAATTTCTCCAGCACACCTACTTTAATAAATGGACAATGCAAACTGTGTTATGAATATTGTGCATATAAACAAACCTGCTTATCTACCGCATGTTATGGGTAAACATTACAGCCAAGGCTCTGGGGCACTGGGGCGATCACGGCGTACAAAATAAGACAAAGAAACTACAAAATAAACAAGAAATGAAGTGGTCAGATGTAACTGAAGAGGGGTTTAATCGTCGATAATGTTAATGAAAGCAGCAGGATTGCTGAGATATTCCAGCTTTAAGGAGCTTTAGTAGGCACGATTAAACAAAGATCAGGAAGTAAACCTCTTCCGACAATTAAATCAAGACAAGCAAACCCAACATTTAAAAGGTAAAGGTTTTTCTCCCTCCTGACTATTGTTACTGCTTACAGCTGCAGATAATAAAACTAGCTGTATAAGAACAGTAAAATATAAACACAGATCAATTATGTTTGAGTAAAAAAGAGTCAATTGCATTTAGAACTGACAATAAACAAGATAGCATGCAAGAATAAACTCAAGAACCATGTTTGAGGGGTTGAGGGGTCCATTCACACCTTGGATTCGCTAATATCCTGTTCCCAGGCTGGTTTTAAAAACCAGCTACGCACCAGAACCTTGGTAAACAAATATAAATGTAATTACTGATACATTTGCCTGTTGTTTTCAGAGAGAGAATTTAAATGACCCTAGGTGGCATCTGTGACCAGAAACTCTGGTGCCTCAGAAAACCAAATTACAGCTTGTAATCTGTGCAATATGAATTATTTCTTTAACGTGGACATGTAATAGGCCTGTAAGCTACAGGAGCAGAGATGTTTGTGTTTCCGGCTGATGATGGACTTTGGTGGTTGTGATGAGCAGGACTGGGTGAAACTGGTACTTTTTGGGTGAAAAGGTGAGGGTCTGCGCTTGAACCAAATTTAAATTACTGAATCTATAAAAAAATATATCTTTGTTCTCATTTTAAAAGCATTCTATGTTACCTTAGCACATTTGGTCATTTCATAACTCGATTAAATGCGAACTCAGAGAGTTTGTAATTTTATTTTTTATTTACCTCACAGTCTTCTCTTGTAGAAAGCAGAGAAGAAAATAAAGCCTGCATTGCAATTCATTGCATCTTTTGGTGTGGTAAGTATCTGTATCGGTAATCGGTAATCTGTATTGGCATGTACTCAGATCCAAGTATTGGTATCATATCAGTTTGGAGAAAAGTGATATTGGTGCATCCCTACAATAAAGTT